TAAATGATCAATGAAACTATTGCTCTAATAATGATTTCTTCCCTTGATTACCTAACTCTAACTTCCTTATTCCCTGTCTTTTTTAGTTTGTTTTTTTCTATCCTTTCGTTTTTTATTTATATATTTATATATAAATAAAAATAAGCAGCAAGCTGCGGTAAAGGCCAAATAAAATAACTTGAATACTGCCCAGAAGATATACAAATATATTATCTTAGGATTAAAGAAACTCATTGAAATATATAGATGTATCTAAGATATTAACAATGAAAACTTAAACTTTTATTAAGCGTCTGTATAGCTCCACAGTCTTAGTGGAGTTCGTCTAATTGTTATATCCTTTATGGCTATAAATAATTTTAGTGCGTACGCCAATATTTATTCGTGGCCCGGAGGGCCAAGTTTTGACTCCGTTTCTTCTCCAGAGGAGATGACAGCGGTTTTTTGGATAAAAAAAAAGACTCCTGTCATCTCCTTCGGAGAATAAAGGGGTAGAAAAATATATATATTTTTTGACCCTCCTCGAGTTAAAAACGTAGGCGCGCGTGCGCGCCTTCTGTCTTGGCCCTCCATCCTGGGCCAAGAAAAGTCAAAGCAAATTCTTAGGAACAATTCATATTTTCCGTAACTTTTTCACTTCCCCAATAAATCTGAATCCCTTAAAACATTTTGAGATACCTTCACCCAATCATCCACGTGACTATTTTAAGGATCCTGGGGCTCCGCCCCAGAGTATGCCAGATCATATGCAAGTTGGGTATGTTCCAACAAAAACTGTGGGAATAAATGAAAAAGTGCATACACCTGAATTCTTATAAGTGTTCTACGTGTTAATACTAAATTATACACAGCAAAACATTTACCTAAGTCCCCTCGAGGGGGCCTTGGGTATAATATTTTTGGAATTCTGCGTAGCTTTTTTTAATCAACGTTTTTTAGTTGAATTGTTCTATAACCGCTTCGTAACTGGCCTTGTATTGAAGTTAGGTGGTCACACTACTAAAATTATTGATAAGGGTTCTATTTTTTTTTTATATTTATATATAAATAAGAGCTTGCGGGTTGCCTAAAATAATTATAAAATATATATTTAAGAGCTTGCGCCTTAAAATAGAATTAATAGGACCATTTGGTTTAGAAAAAGGATTACGGCCACGGCTCCGCCGTGGATGTAATCCGTCGCGCGCTGCTGTTTTTTATTTATATATAAATATATAAATAAAAATAAGCGCGCCGGATTACTAATTTTAAGTAAGAATATTGCTAGTATGGAAACTGGTGTTATTACAACCTACGCTTTATATATCCTTACTGGTCTAGTCTTTTATATTTTAATTCCTTTCTTAACTTTAGCTGATGATAGTTTACTTATACTAATTATCTTTGCTTTATTAACAGTTATTAATACTTCTTATATTAAGAAAAATTCTATTTTATAATTTTTCTTAATAAGGCAAGTTGTTGTGTTTTTTAGTCCCTTCTTGTAATTCTATTTCCTCGTGTCTTCCCCTTCCCCTCC